CACAATCCATCAGGGGTGTCTAAGTGTTCCTATTTTTCCACATTATAGCCAACACTTATTCTCTGTGTTGATTTTTAAGTAACCATTCTAATGGGTTTGAGGTATATCTCAGTGTGGTTTTAATTTGCATTTCCTTGGTGATTAGCAATGTGAACATCTTTTCATAACGCTTATGGGCATTTGTATTCTTCTTTGGAGAAATTTCTATGCAAGTCTTTTTGTTTGTTTGTTTTAGAAAATAAACTTGTTCCTTAATGGGAACTGGGAAGGAGGACTGTCCGGCTGGGAATGAGGTAGGGTATCAGAAGCACAGACCCCTGAGGACTGAGTCATCTGAGGCCTCCTGGATCTGTTCTGTAGCTTGAATGCCGTCTTCTCATCAATTGTGGAAAGTGGCCACATGATAGCCCCCAGCATGCAGGGTACAGCAGCTGGTAGACACCAGCAAGCAGGGTACAGCAGCTGGTAGACACCAGCAAGCAGGCAGGCAGTAGCCAGAGGACCTCCGAGCAGGCTGTCAGCAGCTCCAGGTCCAGGGGCCCATGGTCAGATCCAGCAAGGTGAAGCCCAGGAGTGCCAGTCCCCAAAGCCACTGTGCTAATTTCATCATGGTCACTCTTTGCTCCATGTCTCCCCTTCCCCATACTGGTACTTCAGTATCCAGAAGTACTCTCTCTGCCCATTTTTTAATTCAGTTTTTTTTTTTTTATTGTTATTGAGTTGTAGGATTCCTTTATATATTCTGGATATAAACCTCCTATGAGATACACAATTTGCAAATATTTTCTATGATTCTGTAAGCTGCCTTTTCACTCTAGTAATAGCATCTCTCAATGCGCAAAAGGTTTTAAGTTCGATGTACCACCATTTATCTATCTTTGTGCATTTTGTTGTTGTTGTGGTTTGAGGCAGGGTTTCACTCTGTCACCCAGGCTGGAATGCAGTGAAGTCAGCTCAGCTCACTGCAACCTCTGCCTCCTGGGCTTAAGCAATCCTCCCGCCTCAGCCTCCCAAGTGACTAGGACCTGTCACTACACCCGGCTAAATTTTTGTACTTTTGGTAGAGACGAGGTATGCCATGTTGCCAAGGCTGGTCTCAAACTCCTAGGCTCAAGCAATCCTCCTGCCTCAGTCTCCCAAAGTGCTGGGATTACAGGCATCGTGAGCCTCTGTGTCCTGCCAACTGTTTTTCCTTTCTATTGCCTATGCTTTTGGTATCATGTCCAGGCACTCACAGCCATATCCAATGTGAGGAAGTTTTCTTCTATGAGGTTTATGATTTCAAGTCTAATTTTTAGGTCTTTAATCCATTTTGAGTTCATTTTTGCATATGATATAAAACATGGGTCCAGCTTCATTTTTTTTGCAAGTAGATATCCTGTTTCCCCAACACCATTTATTGACGAGACCATTCTTTCCCCCAGTAGGTGGTCTTGGCACCCTTGCTGAAGATCATTTGGCCATATACACAAGAGTTTATTTCTGGGCTCTCTAGTCTATTTCATCGGTCTATAGGTTGTTCTTTTGCCAGTACCACACAGTTTTGATTACTGTAGCTTTGTAATATGTAGTATAAAATTAGGAAAACTTCACCTACTTTGTTCTTATTTTTCAAAATTATTTAGGGTATTTAGGGTCCCTTAAGCTCTTGTATGAATTTTCAGATGAACTTTTTTCTATCTCTGCAAAAGACACTAAAGATATTTTGATAGTACACCCAGTTTTTGTGCAAGTCAAGTTTGCAGTTTGAGTCCTGTGGGTAATTTATATAGAACTCACAGGCACTGAGGGCAGAATTGGTCACCTTACATAATATGTCTGCCTTCCCAAGAAGCTTCAAGTGACTGGTGCCTCTCAAGATGGCAGCGGGAAAATAAATCACAAAAGAAAAGGGGAGAGTTTTTTTTTTTTTGGCGCAAACTCAGCTCACTGAAACCTCCACCTCTGAAGTTCAAGCAATTCTCTTCCTCAGCCTCCTGAGTAGCTGGGATTACAGGTGCCCTCCACTATGCCTGGCTAACTCTTTTGTATTTTTAGTAGAGACGGGGTTTTACCATCTTGGCCAGACTGGTCTTGACCTCATAACCTCGTGATCCCCCTCCTCGGCCTCCCAAAGTGCTGGAATTACAGGTGAGAGCCACCGTGCCTGGTTGAAAAGGGACATTTTGATTGTTCATATTTTCTTGCAAGTACTGCCTCAATTCGTCCATGGAGTCTCTGCACAGTATTTTTTGTTTCTTTGTTTTCTTTTTTTTTTTTTTTCACGTNCTCACCGCAACCTCCGCCTCCTGGGTTCAGGCAATTCTCCTGCCTCAGCCTCCTGAGTAGCTGGGATTACAGGCACGCGCCACCATGCCCAGCTAATTTTTTGCAGTTTTAGTAGAGACGGGGTTTCACCATGTTGACCAGGATGGTCTCAATCTCTTGACCTCATGATCCACCCACCTCGGCCTCCCAAAGAACACAATATTTTTAAAAGAAATTCATTTGGCCTGATTCTCCTCAAAGAGAAAAATAAGACTTTCCTAAATTTGAGGTGGTCACACTCTGTAAGCCAAGGAGGAGGTTGTCATTTACTCCTGTCCTTTCCCTTGACCCATATGCAGCCCAAGGCCCAGGAACAGCTTGGCAGGGCAGCCCAGTGGCCAGGCACCACAGCCCCACCACGTGCAACTGCTTGGGAGGATGGACAGCAAGGACACAGAGCTCAACAGGGAAGCGCTCCGGACCAGATGCAGAATCCTGGGGCACCCATCCTAGATTTATTCTCAGCAAATTCCAGGCAGGAATTTTTATTTTCTGTTAAATGAATTTCCAGATACTTCTACACAGTACAGTAAACTCTACAAAGAAATCACTATTCCAGTCTTCTCTTCTTTTGAAACGGTATTTCTCTCTGGGATGCTAGAAGTTAAAGTAAAAAAAAAAAAGAAAAATAAAAATAAACAGTAACAAAATTCTTCTATCTAAAATCTTGATGTATGGCTAAGGAAAAGCAAACCCTTAAACTGAGTGTGGTGAAACTGTGGGTTGGGGGTTTTGCAGTGAGCCAAGATCACATCAGCGCTCCCCCGTGTGGGTAACGCCAGACTCAATCAAAAAAAAAAAAAAAAAGAGGGGGGCTTTCTAAGCAGGCATGTTCATAAAGCTTAATTGCCATAGGCTTTCTTATTTTTACTTCATTTTCTGTCAATGCTCAGGGGTGGCTACGGGGACCCACCTCCACAACCACCTGCATTGGAATCACTGGCAGTGCTTATTTAATTCGTATTCCTGGGGCTCACTCCACACCTGCTGAGGTCCAAGGATGTGACCCATGAATTTGCATTATGAACAAGCTCCTCAGAAGGTCCTTAGGCATATTAACATTTGAGAAACACTGAATAGAGCAAATAAATATCACAATCATAGACTATGAATGATTCTTGCATAGTCTCCAACATCGAGTTGCGTATTCATTCATATGGTAAGGCATTTTATCCATTCAGCATACATTGATTCTCCATTAAATCCTATACCCTTACTTCGGTTTAAATCTTTTTAAACTTGAAGCTTTTTGTTTAAGGAATGCAAAAGTAAAGTTGGCTTTCAGCTGGGTTACTGACTTGCTCTTTAAGATTGAATAAAATCCCAACCCTTTTTCCCATCACGATTCTCACACTTGGGAAATCCTTTACACTAGCTGTTAAAATCATTAAGCCAATGTCCCCGATTTAATCTTTAAGGTTGACCAGCCAGCATTGAGTCACTGTAATCTTCTGGGTCAGGCAGGAAAAGAATTGACGTCGTTACAAAATACCACTGCGTAAGTGTCTTTGAGAAAATGGCAGCCAAGTGTACACGGCGGAGTAAGGAGAGGTGAAGAGCAGTGGGCCTTGAGCAGGGTAGCGGGAGGCCCTGGCACTCACGCTGTGCCTCTGAGTGTCCCGTGGGAGCTGGCGGGGATCCGTGGCACACTTTCTCTGACATAACACATCTCAGTGAGTTATCAAGGTGTTTCCTCTCTCCAGAAAGTCAAGCAGCCTGTGAGAAATGATCATTTGGCCTGGGCTATTCTCCAGGGTCAGAGGCAGTCAGGGATGTCTCATACAAAGGGGCTTCCACCATGAGCCAGCAATGTGGATGTGCAGCTAAAAACAGATGCATAAAAATAAACCTTCAACTTCTCACCCTGTGTGCTGAAGATGTTTTCCAGAAATCCACACACAATCTAAACAGCCTTGGACTCAGCCAGCTCCTTTCTCTAGCTTTTACTTTTTAAAAAAGGAAAAATAAAAAAGTGGATCAGCTGACCTCGTTGGTTGATCTCACTTGACTGTAACACCGTCCCAAAAGCAAGTTAGAACACCACAAGCACACCCCAGCAGTCTTGCTGGGTTGTGCCTACCTTTCAGAGACAAACAAAAAAGTTATTATTAGCCATTAACCTAATATCTTAAATTAATATGAGTACTCCCATACTAGAAATTAATTTTAGCATTCAACTCACATTTATTTATTTATTTATTTATTATTTTTTACACTGAGTCTTGCTCTGTTACCGAGACAGAAGTGCAGTGGTATGATCTCAGCTCACTGCAACCTCCGCCTTTTGGTTTCAGGCAATTCTCCTGCCTCAGCCTCTCTAGTAGCTGGTACTACAGGCACCCGCCATCACACCAGCTAATTTTTGTATTTTTATAGAGATAGGGTTTTGCCATGTTGGCAAGGCTGGTCTTGAACTCCTGACCTCAAGTGATCTGCCCACCTTAGCCTCCCAAAGTACTGGGATTACAGGCATTAGCCACCACATCCGGTCATATTCAACTCAATTTTAAAGAGGTATGTCAAGATCCAATCATGCATTCATTCTCTCTCCCTGTTTCTTTTTCTCTGTCTTCCCCAGCCCTCTCTCAACTTAAGTCAAAGGGAGGAAAAACTTGAGATAATTATCCGAGGATGGATAGGTAGAAAATTAGGTCAATCCGTTTATTTTATTTTATTTTATTTTATTTTATTTTCATAAATTAACCCATTTATTATAGGCCAGTGATGTCTCAAAGAGTAGAGGAGCGTCTACTGGTCTTTCAATTCCTTCAGTCTTCTGATGGCGGACTTTACCGTGGCAGCGGAAGTGGTATTGTACATCCAGACACCACCAGCCACTGTCTTCATGCAGGAACCACAGTGCCAGATGCCCACGGCTCGTCTCTTCATCTTGGTTTTGCCACAGAAAGAGCAAGTGTACTTGGCATGCTGGCTGATTTCAATTTTCTTCACCATTTTCCGGAGGGAGGCCCCATAGCGGGTCCCGTATTTACCGACGATTCCAACCTTCTTGGTACATTTGGCCATGTTGCCGGTCTGAGCCCAGAGAGGTGGTCACTCAGTTTAAATTGCCCAGGTCCTGTGATGGTGTGGACAAGCAACTTCAGGAACTACTGCACGCTAAAAAGACTCAAGCAGTAAAGCAAGGCAAATCTCAAGATAATTCACATCAAAATTAAATTTTTTTTTTTTTTTTTTTTTTGAGACGGAGTTTCGCTCTTGTTACCTAGGCTGGAGTGCAATGGCACGATCTCGGCTCACCGCAACCTCCGCCTCTTGGGTTCAGGCAATTCTCCTGCCTCAGCCTCCTGAGTAGCTGGGATTACAGGCATGCGCCACCACGCCCAGCTAATTTTTTGTGTTTTTAGTAGAGACGGGGTTTCACCATGTTGACCAGGATGGTCTCGATCTCTTGACCTCGTGATCCACCCGCCTCGGCCTCCCAAAGTGCTGGGATTACAGGCTTGAGCCACCGCACCCGGCCCAAAATTAAATTTTTTAAAAATCCTGCAGTTTCCTGGAGTGCTGTGTCTATCGTGTATTTCACTGTCGCCACCGGATCCTGCTTAGTAAGACAGGACAATGCAGGCCATGAGTCTGACTACCTCCCGGAGAACCAGTTTTGCCCCCGAGATCATCACATGGTGAAGACTGTGACTGAAGACACCACGCCTCCCCAGAGCCCAAAAAGCGGCAGTCAGGGAAGCTAAGGGCAGGGTAGATCAGGACTAAATGTCCAGAACAGTGGGCTTGTGGCCAGCCCACATTTATATTGCGTGTCCTTCACCGTCTTCCTCTCCCTGTCCCCAGACCAATGATTTTCCCCAGTCCCTTCCAACTTCTAACATCCTTATTTAAGGTCCTGCAGTCGAAGCTATATTCTACTTGGATCTTCTTTTTTGAATGACAGCCAATCCAGGCGAGTCCACTCAACATTCGAGTAGCCGGGACGTGGACACAAAGTCTGTTCAAGCTCTGCCTCTATGAGGTGTGTGATTGGTCCCTTGAGGACTCTGAATGACACTTAGCTCCTCCTGGCCCAGGTCTCTCCATCTGCCCAGTGAGTGAGACCCCCCTGGTGATTTTCAAAGCCCCTCTCATCCTGGGGGAAAGGCGAGGTTGTTCCAACTTCACTTCCTCCAACCATGAATCCACTTACCCATCCATGCTGGCATACTCATCTCCAGTGTAAAAAACACACACCAGCTCTTCACACTCCCTTCCCCCACCCCACGGTTGGGCTCTGACCAGATGTTGGGGGAAGGAATAGAGGAGACAGCAACCATTCAGCCCCATCCTGAGCGTCAACAGGGTGCAAATTCTGGCAACTGCTCAATGGCGCATCTGGGCAGAACAAGTGCTGCCCCCAGGGCCGTTCACCTGGATGGACCTCTGTCCACCCTGCACCAGTCAGACCTGTGGAAATCTGAGCACTGGCCAGCTATCAAGGAAGCCGGGAAGCGAAGGAGAGAGAAACAGGGACCCTGCATGAGAATTCTAGGAGAGCAGGACTTCAGGGCACTGCTAAGCTATGTCCTGTTCAAAACAATGGTTCTCGTCAGTATCAACAGCAGTACTGAAATGATCATGTCTGCTTTCACCCACCCATGTGTCATCCAGAGTGCTTGCTCCAGACCAGCTGGGCGCTGCACGTCCATGCACCGCTCCAGGCAGCATCACCAGCTTCCTGTCAGGCACAGCCCAATCAGCACCGAAGATCTGCAAACCCTACAGTCTGAGTGGTGCAAATCTTCGGTGCTTATTGGACACTCATTGCCAGCACCAGCAACTTATTAATTACCATGATAAATGCTAAAAGTGAGCTCTTACAGGTAAGAATAAAGGCATTCAAGACAGGAGAAATCGGCCCAGTGTGGTGGCTCATGCCTGTAATCCCAGCACTTTAGGAGGTGGAGACAGTTGGATCACATGAGGTCAGGAGTTCAAGACCAACCTGGCCAACATGGTGAAACCCCGCCTCTACTAAAAATACAAAAGTTAGCCAGGCATGATGGTGCATGCCTGTAATCCCAGCACTTTGGGAGGCCAAGGCAGGTGGATCACATGAGGTCAGGAGTTCAAGACCAACCTGGCAAACATGGTAAAACCCTGTCTCTACTAAAAATACAAAAATTAACCAGGCGTGGTGGCAAATTCCTGTAATCCCAGCTACTTGGGAGGCTGAGGTGGGAAGATTACTTGAACCTGGAAGGTGGAGCTGAGATTGTGCCACTGCACTCCAGCCTGGGCAACAGAAAAAAAAAAAGACAAGAGAAATGGTTCACAAAGTTCTCAGTTTGAGAAGAGAAAATAGTTCCAGAAACCAGCGGTGGTTAGTGGTTACATAATATGAATGTACTTAATGCCACTGACCTGTACACTTGAAAATGATTACGATGGTAAATTTTGTGTTATGTATGTTTTACCACAATAAAAAAAAAATTTAAGTTTATACATGACCCATCTTTGCATGAACAGGGAATAACAGTAAACCTTGTCCCCAGCACCCTTCAGAATGGTCCCTGAGGCTCCGTCTCTGCTCTGTCCTCACCTCTCCGTTGCTTTAGGTGGATTTCTGAGTGCTTCGCGTCAACCAGCAGATTCCAGGTCAGGCTCTAGATCAGGGGTTGGCTGACTTTTGCAGCAAAGGCCAGAGGGCAAATATTTTAGGCTTTGTGGACCACACGGTCTCTGTTGCAACCACCCAACTCTGCCCCTATGTCAGGAAAGAGGTCACAGGCAATGTCCACTTGTTCCAACATTTCATTTACAAGAATTTGGCCTGGAGCTCAGTCTGCCATCCCCTGATCCAGACCCTCAGAATGTTCTGTCTCCCTTGAGTGATCGTCTCAGGCCAGCTGAGGCCAGAGCTCTGGAGCTGGCTTTGCTTAATGTCTGCACAGGAGACACTCCGGCTGAGGCTCCTTCCCTCATGACCTGGAAGTGGAGTGGGGCTGGGTCAGAAGCCCTCACACCTCAGACTTCCAAGTGGTAGCAGCATCTGCCTCAAAGAACCCAAGAGCTGTGTGTGAATAGCTGTATAATATGGAAGGATGTGACCAAGTTTTAAAATCAGATGAAATACTCTTCAGATACCAACTTCATAGTTGACTCAATGTGCTCATCAATAAAAATTCCTCCTTGACAAGGTTACTATGAAAAGGCAAGAACATATTTGTTAAATAACACATTTTTTCCTGTAATTTTCTTCAGTTCTTACTAGGTGGTAGGCACTGTATAAAAAGAGTTGTTGTTTTATTTTTTGTTTATTTATTTTTTAAGACAGGGTCTCGCTCTGTTGCTCAGGCTGGAGTGCAGTGGCATGATCTCAGCTCACTGCAACTTCCACCTCCCAGGTTCAAGTGATTCTCCTGCCTCAGCCCCCCAAGTAGCTGGGACTATAGGTTCTCACCACCACGCCTGGTTAATTTTTGTATTTTTTAGTACAGACAGCATTTCGCCATGTTGGCTAGGCTGGTCTCGAACTCCTGACCTCAGGCCATCCACCCTCCTCGGTCTCCCGAAGTTCTGGGATTACAGGCGTGAGCCACAGCGCCCGGCCAAGAGTTGTTGTTTTAGTGTGTTTGCACTTTTAAATCTCACAGCTCTTCAGGATGGGCTTATTATCCCGTATCACAGGTGAGAAAATTGAGGCTTATGAGGGTTTAATTGAAATAAAATTTTAGCTTATGTGTGGTGGCTCATGCTTGTAATCCCAGCACTTTAAGAAGCTGAGGCAGGAAGATCATGAGATGATGAGACTAGTCTGGCCAACACAGTGAAACCCTGTCTCTACTAAAAATACAAAAATTAGCTGGGCATGGTGGCATGTGCCTGTAATCCCAGATACTCGGTAGGCTGAGGTAGGAGAATCGGTTGAACCCAGGGAGGTGGAGGTTTTAGTGAGCCAAGATTGTGCCACTGCACTCCAGCCAGGGCGACAGAGTGAGACTCTCTCTAAAGAAAAAAAGAAAGAAAGAGAGAGAGAAAGAGAAAGGAAAGAAGGAAAGGAGGGAGGGAAGGAAGGAAGGAGGGAAGGAGGGAAGGAGAGTAGGAGGGAAGGAGGGAAGGAGGGAAGGAGCCAGGCACGGTGGCTCATGCCTGTAATCCCAGCACTTTGGGAGGCCAAGGCGGGTGGATCATGAGGTCAAGAGATCGAGACCATCCTGGCCAACATGGTGAAACCCCATCTCTACTAAAATATAAAAATTTTCATAAAGAGGGCGTATGAAAAAAAAGAAAAGAAAAAATTAGCTGGGGGGTGGTGGTGTGCGTCTGTAGTCCCAGCTACTTGGGAGACTGAGGCAGGAGAACTGCTTGAATCCAGGAGGCGGAGGTTGCAGTGAGCCAAGACCGCGCCACTGCACTTCCAGCCTGGCACCTGGCGACAAAGCAAGACTCTGTCTCAAAAAAAAAAAAAAAAGCAAGAAGGAAGGAAGAAAGAGAGAGAGAAAAGAAAATTTTAGAGCATTTGTCATATAGTTGGCATTTAATAAATGGTAACTTCTACTGTTTCCAGAAATAGCCTAATTTCAAATATGCTGTGTTCTTTCCTCATAGAGATGTCAACGGTGGTGGAAGGTGATAGTTTCCACCTTGGGTGGCACTTCTCTCCATATACTTAAATATCTGCCATTTATTTATTTATCAATATTTAATGTCTGTCATATATTTAAAAACCTGTCATGGTATTTCTCTTCATACAAATTTAATCTTCTTTTCCTTCCACCAGTAAAATTTTATTATTCATGTAAGTCTTGTGCACTTTTTGCTTTCTTCTTAGTATTTTATAAGTCTGTGGCCATTATTAATGGAGGTTTCTAATGATATTTTCTAATAAGTCATTGCTGCTATAATGTTGGCCTTGAGTCCATCTATTGGGCAGAACTCTTATTAGTTCTCACCACCTTGCCCTTGGTTTCTGCAGAAACTTGCATCTGATGTCTTTGTATCGACCAGAGCCTGCAGAATAAATATTGAATAAGCAGAGAGCAGCATTCTTTTCTTATCCCTATTTTCACCTTAACGATTCT